TTGTTTTACTTCATTTTCTGTGAATGTTAATTTGTTGATATCAATATCTATATGACTTCTCGTATCACTTTTGTCTATTATCGCGAATAACTATTATGCTTGTGATTGTTGATAGCAATTTATTCTATTTGATGATATATGATCTTGACACAATAACATCAGACACAGTATAATACATAATACCCTTCTCTTCGTAATCAAATATAGCTTTATGAACGTGTAGTTTTATTGGTAATTAAACTAGATGCTATGAATCGCATTTATATTGCGTGCTAGAATTCAATAGCTATTATACACTCGAGAAAAGAAATGTTATCATAGTGCTCTTATTTCTCTAATTCTATTACAAAAGTTTTATTATGTTATATCTACAATCTTGATTGATTTATTTTTACCATATGCACTAATATGAAATTCGCGCACTTTACAAGGATGAGTTTCTAAGCAGCTGCAATTATGTCTCTTTATATTGACATCTTAGGAAAATATTTTCTATGAGACTATATATGCATAGTTTCTATTTCAATAATTTGATACGATTACGATACTAGAACAAATAATAAAAAGCAAACGATTTCAATTTTGTTGTTATGAATATTAATAAGCGGATCCACTTTGACTAAATATTACCAAATTTATATTTACGCGAAAATTTATATCTTCCTTACATAAGAAATCACAAATACGATGAGTATCATTTGACATTTTATAATATATTATGTCCTTTAATGTTATTTATTGTAGATAAGATGTTTTGAAAGAAATCAAAAGGTGATTGTCGAGCGATTAAATATTTTAATTTTATCTTCGAAAATGATTTAATCGATGATGATAGTTATGGAATGGTGATTGATTGCATAAATATGAATCGAAAGTATAGATGATTTTATCTCCATATTTGTAAGAGTTTGATGGAAGATGACATGGATATAATAAACACCGACTTCTAATTCGTTTATTTAAAAGAAATGTGTATGTTTCAAAGCAAATAATTTCAAACGTTAATAATTAATTTTATTAAATTCATAGGATAAGAAGAGAAGGGAATAGTGTTCAAAAAGAGAGATTATTCATGGTGATTAAATTTTGGAAATATATAATAACACATTAGAAAATAAATTTTGGAAATATATAATAACACATTAGAAAATTAATCTATTTAGTTTCAATTAATAATGTGATGCTATTATATGGCTTGCGAATATAAATAGTCGTAAAAGTAGATTTTTATTAAAAATAGATTAAATATGGAAGTGAAAAATATGTACCTTGATTTTCTGATTCGACCGTGAGAACTCGAGAACTCGGAGGAAATATGTTTATATTGTGCGATTACAATTTGTGCATGACAATTTGTGCATGACAATTTGTGGTTTACAAATGTTGATGACAGTCAAAGGCCTTAATCGATGCTCTTCCGGGTTAATTTGAAACATTTCTCTAGTCACGAACTAGCCACTGTATATGACTTCAAATACGTGTTTACTTTACGTGAATTAATGAGTTGAACATAAATTAATAATGTTCATTGAAGTGACACGTGACACACAGTATGAATAGATATCAATAGTTATATTTGCAATATAACTTCTGTCCGATTCTTTGTTACGAAATTTAGTTTATAAAAATATTTTTTCCGCGGAAATATGTAAAAGCGATTTTATATTTAAATATTTTATTTTATAAATTAATTTTTTATCAATGTTTTTAATAATTATTTTACATTGTTTAAAATCTTTCTTAGTTGTCTTATTAAAACCATACATTTTATTCGATTAAAATGTATGGCTATTTAGCAATATTATGTGACGTGTGTCTGCCATTGTTTATATAACTGTGCATATAATAACCTTTATGAAATAGGCCGTAAATGTCACAAAGTAACCGTAGCTAACTAAGCCGCTGAGATAAATCTCGCGCGTTCAGGGTGGATATTAACGATTGGTCGCGGCTTTTAACATAGAATAAAATAAATTGCTTGTAACATTATTGTAAATGTGCACCAGCATCAAGGTTAATGTCTGTGAAGTCTTGTGTATGCTTGTGTTCACCTTTTTTATTCATTTTTGATATCAGATCTTGATTATATTATAAGATTGTCGAAGTGATTTATTGACAACGCTAAAATAATTTACTTATATAACCGCAGAATCTCTATTTGCAAACAGAGACGTATTTGAGGAAATTGAATATATCACTTATTTTTAAAAAGACATAAATTATGGATATACATATATCGTATAAAATTGTGTTAACAATATATTTTGCAAATTTCTATTTGCATTCTATCGCAAAGATATATAACCCTGTCATTAATCTTTACTAAAGTAATTTCCTAGAGGATTGTACTTGGATAAAAAAACAAACTTCTTCTTTATAAAATATTTTTCTAATCTCTCATACCTTTTTTAAAACACACGACGACAAATTCACATTCCATATAGTGTACGCTTATAAATTTTCAATCACTAGACTTCAATTAACAAAGTTCGATCTGTGATTAATGATGTTAAAAAAGATACTGATCTTCTCGCAGACAGTTTCTTGCACCTCTCTCTAGAATCTCTTTTTCAAACAAGAATGTGTAACAAGCTGGAATATTGAGATCGGTAATCGGTTGCTGCGATATTACCACTTCGTATCCTGTCGACGTACTGGGTCAACCGGGCAAAAGAGTAAACAGGTTATATTGCGAACCAACAAGCGTGCGTTTCACCCACTAGGCTCGCCCATGGCGCAACGTCTTCTTCATAAGCCTCTCAAGCCTCGGTGCAAACATCGATGAACGACAGATATCTTCGTCGTGCATTGCTCTATAATCGCGAGTGAAAGCAGGTGCGCACATACTCGTACGTGCTCGACATACTCGAAGAATGACATGTTTGTTATCCACTCTTGGCCATTACAACCCTGTTGCGTACGAAAAACGATCTTTCGGTGATATTCCTCGATAGAGATGCGATAGATCAAGTTTCCAGGCCAGTGGAGTAAGTTGATGCCTACTAGCTTCGTATACGGCAAAAATTTATTGCCTGAGCATAGTGGGTTAACAAATCGTGTTTCTTTTGTGACCCAAAAAATAAGTTTGATGAACGCTTCCGGTTTTAAGAGTTTCTGCCTTCATCGAATTATTAGCGATTGCATAAAGTCTAATAATTGCATTATTACGAATAAAAATCAGAGTTAATAATTACGGGTTTTACGCTTGATGCATACAAGATTTTCCAGTTTTTAATTTTCTATGAAGTAAGCTCTTCCATGCGATAACTATCTAAGTTACAGGATTCATAACGTAAATGTTAGTTATAAATGATTTATAACGTGAATGGTTGATTATTAAAACTTGATTAAATCAGTAAAAAATTGTCAATAGCGAATGTAAATCGCTATGAATAATATAAAATAAATATAAAAATATAATCTTAAAATGTACCTATGATTTTAAGTAAAAAATGTTGTATATAAAAATCATGAAATTAAAGTATAACCAAAGATTTAAATTTTTAAAGAGACAGCGACAGATTTTTTTTATTATTTACTCTTATTTGTTTACTTTATGTTAACGTATGTATGTTGCTTGAATTATGTTTGCTTATAAGTCGTGTTTTGAAATAAATCAAATATGCTGAGAAAATTAGATTTTAATTAAAGAAGAAAAACAATTTTAAAAATTGCACTAGATTTTTAAACAGTTTGATGCAAGGCCAAAGTAAAACAGACGACTGTTGTGCAAACCGGTTACGGAAAAGAGAGCTGTACCGCTAACGTGTGTGCATAATATCCTGATTCCACTTGAAGACTGCGTTAATAGGTCAATCAATTGCCTTTTATTATTTGCTTCTTGTTGATGACTTATCGCATTTTGCTGTTATATGTTTGACTGTTATATAATTAGCTATTATATAATAGTCAATTTATATAACATTATATACATATATTTTCTTATACTTTTTCTTATTTTTTAATAATTTACAATGATTTTTATAACAAAAACTCATCTTTCTTCATATTTCTTAACATTCGATATTAAATTTTGTCGCAAAATAAAAATTTTTAATTGAAATTAATTTGAATATAATATTTTATTATCTTAAATTAAATTGCATTTTGTATTTGAATTTATGAGAAATTCTAAATTTTTTAATTAAGTTTAGAACAGGAATTTATTGAGATCTTGGTATTTGTTTGGTAAGAGAAAATAAGATTCAACATTAAAATTATACGCATTGTATCGGATATGATTTCAGATTTTGCTAGTAGATGAGTATTTTCTCAAAAAACCAATTAGTATGTCCAATTTTATTAAATTTCCGCTATACCAAGAGATAATTTATGAATTATAACGTTACCTGTTATTATCTATGTTAAAAAAAACTGAACGACCGTTGCGGGTGGGTGCACCAGAAAATGTAGTGCTTCTACCAGCCATGAGGAATGTCGCAATTATGTGGAGGAGAATGTCGTGGAGAAGACCCTTCGTTAAATCTTTAAAACGGCTAACGGAAGAATAGTAATTGTTATCACGGTGACACGTGCAACCGTTTGTTTTCTTTCTATAAATTCGAAATATAGAATTTCTCGCTTTTTTTTTTGCTGATCGTGTGATATAGAACGAAAATGTACTATGCAATGTTTAATATGGTATGGTTCACCATTGTTCCTGCAGCTATTAGTTTCGTGAAATACCTTTCTGATTGTGTGGTAGCTATTAAGCCGATAATCATGCGGCTGTGATATACCGTTAAAATTATATACTTGTCAAAAATAAGGACGTATTCTTTCGAAGATCTTCGGTTCTAATGGATCGATCGAGCAATTAAATTAGAATCTTTTAAGGTAATTTAATTGTTTCTTTTATATACAAATGCTTATTAAATATTTTTTTCTATTTTTTTTTTTTGGAAATATGAAAAAGCAAGAAAATAATTTGCGAAGAATATTAATAAATCTATCGCAAAGTATCTTTGCAATATTGTTGGATAATCTTTCTAATACTCTTTTCTCAGTCTTAAAATATCCGGTTTAATGTATCACGAATTTTATGGTGCGATGAGTTTGTCTCATTGTTATTACATGGAATTTCCATGACCAGCCAGCGACCATCAGCGAGTCCTCGAGTGTTCTCTCAAGAGGTGTACCGTGTAGAATGCAGGCGCAATCTCTGTATAGCATTATCTAAGCCATGGACCGTTACCCCCACCGACCTAAATGCACGCCGTATAAATGGTCAGAACACCTTCTAACCACTGTCAGTGAGCGTGTGCACCTAATCTTGCTTTTCTGCATCATCCTGCATCATTCTGTGAAAAGAGTGCGCGGTATTATGTGATAATTTTTCGTATCATATAATCGTCATTTATGATTTTTTTTTTTGATTAATTACGGCATTCACTTTCGCTGCGATGTATCTCGATGATTCGTATAATTGATGAGCAACCATCATGAGTAACAATAACAATGACTGTACAGAAATTCGAAGCGAGACAGGTGATCGTCAGAATTCTCTGCAATGAAATATAAATCAGTTGATCAAAATTAACAAAATTCAAATCAATAGTGTAAAGTTAAAGTCATTGACCTAAATTATGAAGTGCGGATATTTCGGAGTTATTGAGTGGTCTCGCAAAATCGGATATCCAAGAGTGATTGAAGTATCGTGCTGGATATTTATTTTATTGATTGTTTGTTCACGACGGACTCATTCATTGGCTTTTGATAATACAACGGATCTTTTTGTTCAAAAATGTGAAATGGAATGCGATTTAAAGAGAGACTACACAACTTGTGGCAAATATAAAGTCGCGAAATGGTTAAACACAATAGTAAGAGAAAAGGTACGTGTTTACTATTTGTGATTACATAAAATTTGATTATATCCAAAATTAGAAATGAATAATCCACATTGCATAACGTTAATTGTAACAAAAAGCAATTAAAATTTAATTCTAATCTTAATTAATTCTGTATCTTGTTACAGTTAACGTTATGCTATCAAAATTATCAAAATAATAAATATGTAAATAATTTATTATAAGAATTAAAAACAAATTAGTACATATACATTTTTATAATTTTAATTTGATAGAATTATAACAAAATTAAAAAAATTAATTATAGGCATAAATAACTCTAAAATTGATTATATATTATTATACGATAACAATTATAAAAATGCATATAATGTATATAAATTTATAATTTAAAAAAAAGAATTATACATATAAATTAGTTAATTAAAGCAAATTATCATAATTCAGGAATTTAGTTACGGACCATTTCGAATAATAAGGATACCATCGATTTACAAGCAATCCTTTTTACCCTATTTGCCACGTTCTCAAGCATTTAAAAGTGGTATAACAGAAGCTCTGAACTTTGTTAGAGATAGTGTAGAGGATTTATTGACAAAACGTGCCATTGTATATACAATAGACAACTCGGCAGTTGCCAGAGATGCCAGAGACTTCTCTTCGAATTTGATGTTTATGGATGAGGATGAACTTGAGCGGCTAAAGGATAGCAAAGAACCGGAAGGTAAAATCTTATATCTGCTGAATAATAAAATATTTAACGATTTTTTTCTCTTATATTGTTTTTTACAATTTCTTTTTCTTGTTATTCGATCAAATATTTTTTATCTATGTTAAATATAATAAACTGATGATGAATATTGTAGAGTGCTTTATTTTTTCTTGAAGTTCTGAAAAAATTCTGAAAATTCTTATAATGGTATATTGATCTCCTGGCAATAACAAAGAAAAGATGTATTTACTGTTCTATGTAACGGAATGTTTTGATGTGTCCGAGCGTAATTATAGTCTATTGCACTTTATTTCGGATAACGTTACACGTAACAAGTAATCATTGTAAAAACTATGCAATCTGCTATAATGTGCTATATATTTGAAAAAAGCGATGAACAGCGAAATGGTAGAGTTTACTACCTTATATTTTCTGTAACGGCAACGATGTCAACAGTTGTATAGTCTGTAATAATATTTGACGATTTTCGAGAAAGAGAAAATTTATGAATTATTCGTTTTACAGGCGATTGGCGAATTTTCAAGAAGAAGAAAAATATTATCTTCCCCATTCTTATATTATTAAATTTAATAAAACTGAAACTATTGCTGTTACCAATTTTCCTAGGAGTTCATTTTATCAAAAAACTTCTCGTACTTGGGTCATTAATTTTACCATCGGTATTTGCCCATTTAAAGATTTGCAAAGTGCAACACCCTCATGCGCATCATGCACATCCTTTTCATCTGTGGTCCACTGCAGCGGATGCAACAGTAGATTATCCAACAGGTAAGAGTATTTTAAAAATATTTTTTTGTCTTTGACAAAAACACTATGCTTTCTAAGCAAGTTATATATCAAATTATAGGTATATAGACATATATTTATTATATTTGGTAAAATTTTAAATAAAACGAATGATGCGAAGAATAATGAATATTTAAAAATTGTGATTCTTTTATTCGTTATATTTATGTTTAAAAATAGTATTAGAAATTCGTTTTATAATAAAAATTTTTTGTTTATTTTATGTTGTTAAGTTTTATATATATGCTAATGTATGAAAAAATTTTCTTATCAAATAAAAATAACTGGCACACCCTAGTGATAGTTTGCACGATTATATATTATGTAGGCTAAGTTAAGATAGCGTCGCTCAGCTGTAACAGCTGATACATCTTTATAGACCAATACATATGACGTATTTATGTTGGGATAAACATATTTGATGTTGGCCAACAGCGACAAGTATTACATTTGAAACAGCTGTCAGTGTACGTTATATGATAGTGTTTTATATTTGACATATTTATATTTAATAATTCCTTTAAATCTTTAATGTCACGTCGCGTATCACAAATCTTTGACATCGATAATACTGTCTTTAATCTTTTCTTATATAAAATTTGCACACCTGAATAAAGATCTTTATGTATCTATTTGTTAAAAACATCATAAACTTGTAATATGCATTTTAACATTTTCTTTGCAGGATACGGAACGGATGACAGTAATTGGCATAGAAACGATTATCAGTTGGGATATCCGAGTTATCAAATACTTCGCAATCCTTACGGGTGAAAATATATCAGAGTAATTCGTGATCATCAACGATAATATCGTGTTTGTTATCTTCTGATAAGCTTTCGAAGGCGAGTCAATTACATCGAAGCACGCGAAATAACACTTCAACAAGTAGTACAATTACGATTAATCTAATTGTGATCCGTGTATGTGATCTTAGTAATTTCCTGTAAAATTACTCATGGCAATTATGGTGAATGGATATGAATGAACGTCGCCAAACGCTACGCTTATCTCGGCTACGCTCGTTCATCGCTTATTCTAGCAAAGAACACTCGTGAAATAACTTTCACATAGTTTACCGTTATTTGAGGAATGTATTGATATATTTTAACCTTTGCAACTCACGAGTTTTGAGAAAGGATTAAGATGTTAAGGACATCCGGCTTTTTCTTAAAACTTGCATTAACGGGAACGCGAAAGAGCGTAAAATACCTGTTAATTTTTTAGAACATTAATTTCTACAACTTTCTATCTTTTATCTCTTGTTTTATATTATTTATTAATTTTATTAATTTTACATCGAGATGATATCGGTGATACATCGTTGCTGATTAGCTTTGATTTTTTATAACTTGATGTTATTAATGAAAGCTATTGCAAAGCTAACTGCAAAACTAACTTTCTAGAAGATTATTTACACAACTGAATGTAACTGCCAAAAAATGCAGTTGCACTATTTTTTATTGACACTATTAAATTATAAATATTTACGGCAAAGTAATTAAATTACAGTATAGTCAGCAGTACAGTCAAGTGTGAAGCTCATCCAGGTAATCCAAGTTCAATTAATCTTCGCTTGTTTTTTAATTGTTTTCTAATGACAACAATATATGATTAGAATATAGCGCAAAGTATCTACTAATTTTTTACCAAAAATATTCGGCGTACTTGTTTCTCATGGACCGTCTTTCCTCAAATTTCAAAGTGAAAATCGCAAAAAATTCTGTCACTCCACGGCAGGAGGACCATTTGTGGTCAAGGTCACTCAACCGAGTACGATGGCCCCTCTACTGACCTACTGACAGATTTGGACAAGCGCCCAGTTTGTAGCTCAAACGCGTCACGAGCCAATTCATGTGTCGCTGTTATGCGTCCGTGTGTCTACCTTGACCGTGTGTGTCCATGTATATATACAATCATGTGACCCATGCACGAGTCGATCGAAGACCGTTATTGACTCGCGGACAGTACACGGCGAGAGCCCAGTCATCGTCGACTTGTCGTCGACACATATTTTAAGCTCCACATGACGATTACAATTGATGAATTTTGCTCTCACCCTTTCCCTTCTTCAATACGCTTTTCTTGACCCATCACGTGTTCATCGATAGGATTAATCTTAGCTTCCCAGCGGTGAAGTTTTCATCGGACTTTCCAACGCGAGTCTTCGATGCCTAGTCTGACGTAAACCGATTTTTTTTTTCATAAAGAGTGAATTTTTCGTACTATTACAATTTTTAATATTTTTTATTGCAAGAATAAATATCGTATATCATAAGAGACGCGTTGTGGAATAATAAAAAGACACGCTTGACTTTGATGGCAAGCGATAAAGTGACAACAATGCTTGGGCTCCACGACACACAATAGGAAACGCGAATCGGAAGCGACACATTGCGCATCGCTACAGGATAGGTACGATCGATACGCAACGTGCACTCATCCGCGACAACTCGACCGTTACGTTCTTACGTTATATACGAACGAAAAAGTCGCATTAATGTAACGGACCATCGTTCATGTCACGGCGTTCGACTTGCGTATCTACGTCGAACGTATTTCCTGCATATTGTACGATTCATATGTATTTGATTCATGCGCACGTATGGCGAAGACGATTCTGAGTGGTGTGCGTTAAATACCGGAGGTACTTCTCGAGATGCCACAGATGAAGTTCACAGAAAGCAAAGCCTCGTGAACAATTGTAGGTCTAGCTTAAATAGAACAGTCCTTCCTTTTTTTTTTTTTAAATGAACATCGTTTTTGCGGAAGTCAATCAAATTTGTATTATGACGGACGATTTATCTCTAGAAAAAAGATATTATTTCGCGACAGAACTTCAATTTTATCACATAAGAAATACTGTATATTGTATATCAGGTTTTAGTACCGTTTATGATTATGATATACATTATGTGTATGAATAAATTTCAATAAAATAAGAGTAAATGGAAAAAAAAATTTTTGTAGATATTGATAATCATTTGTTTCGCATTTTTATTTTCTGTCCTTTGAAATTTTTCAACGTTTAGTGAAACCGAGTTGTATGTTTAATATTATGTTATTTCTCATTTGGATGTGTGCGTATATGTATGCGTATGTGCGTATGCGCATGATTATAGTTATAAGAAAAATAAAATTGTAGAATAATTAAATAGTTTTCTACTTTCCTTTCCTTAAATTGGACATTATGATATTCTTAAGAATCTTTTTCCTTGTTTTTTATTAACAGATCAATGATAAAAGATTATAACGTCACATTTATTCATACATACTTCATATGTTATTATAAAAATATTTATAAGAATGTGATTTTTCTTTATTATTTCCAGTATTTAAAGATAAATTATTTTATTTATAAATTCTTGATTAATAATTAATTTCAATGCATAATGAGTCGGATATTTTTCGTTTATTGTCAGATATGAATATCAATACTTGAAAAGAATCTTTCTCTCTCTCTCTTTTTCTCTCTCTCTCTCTTCTCTCTATGAAAATTATAATAAAAATAAAAACACGGAGAATATATACAATATCTATACGTTTTTAAGAAACAAGCGACGATTCTATGGGTGTCACCGATTTGAATGTGAAACTGAAGCCAAAAGAAGAACACACTGACCCGTGTGACCTTCTTTTTATAAAGAGAATACACTTTTGCATAAAGAAATTTAATCAAAAATTTTAATCTAAATTGTAAATATTAAAAAATGCCGATAAAAAGTTATAAATTATTATGAAAATATATTCTGAGTTTGTAAAGACAAAAGAAACCGTGCTCATTTTTAAATTAATTATTTCCTTGCAATTTAAAATATTCACATAAAAGCTGCATTTGAATTTTATAGAACTATTACTAGCACAGTACTAATTTTTATGAAAAAAATTAAAATGTTATATTTTGTTACCCCTTTTCTACATTTAGTAATTTACAATGCAAAGTTTATCGGCTATAAAGTTTTAAAAAATTTGTTTTTATTTCACAATATTGACAGCACTCTACAATATACTCGCAAAGATTCTTTTGACGTTATGTTATAACGGGTTCCTTCTGTCAATGTCCATTAGTAAATAGTACTTTGAAACACGGTACTTGTATACCGTGATTACCGTCAAATGTAAATGATAATCATTTTATAATAATTGAATTATTTGTCATATCTACCAAAATGAATAAAAGATTGACTAACATGTTGATGTAGACGAAACCCAAAATTAATGTCCTTTTTCGGAGGTCACAAACATTATTTGGGATCGGTAGATTTCCGAGAAAACACAAGAGAAATCGTTTGTAAAGGTGTGTAACCGCGATTGAACTCGTGACTAATTTGATTGGACTTGAACGAGTGATCTTTGCTGACGTCATAACCGAAGATAGTTTCCATATGAAAAGTAGATCACACGAAAGAGATTTTAAAAAATCGCTACTTTTTACTCTTGACAATTAAACGGATGTGGAGTAGTCTTAATTAATCAAGCTGTTTTTTTGTTGCTACAAAAAATTATATATTTCCTATAAGAAATTGTTGTAGAAGTGTTTAGAATCATATCCTTTCAGGATATAAAAATAGATTTATTAATAATTTTCATTTAGTTAGGAAAAAGTTTCGATTTTTTATTGTATACTTTACTCTTTTGTATTTTTCTTATTTCTCTTAAATAATAAAAATTATTGTAGAGCAGAGATAAAAAAAAAATCTCAAAGAAAAATATGTAGACTGAACCAAACTGGGAGTTCTTAAATCAGCTTAGATTTATTTCGCTCATCCCCTTATATATAATTTAGCCTCCTGTTTGCTCTCTTTCTTCCTTTTCCCCTTCTCTTCGATTAAATTAAGCTCTATTAGCAAATTGTGTCTCGGAGAATCATCTGTACCATTGGGCGGCATCTCGTCAGGCTCATTGAACTGGCCCGTGTGGAATATGTTTTCGATAATTATAGACCCGTGACGAATTCAATTGATTAAATGGGAAAATTTCCCCCTCGGCTAATAGTTACATTAGTCGATTTTGCCAATTCTTCCTTGGAAGAAGGGTAGCTCCTAAACCGAATGGCGGGAACGAACGGACGAATGAACGAACGTGGTGAGCAAGGAAGGCGGAAAGGGGAATGGATAGAAGGACGGACAGACGGATGGCCGGGTAACCCAGATTGGGTCAGTCGAGCCGATCCTACGGAGACCGGCTGCCAGTATAGTATCGGACGTCGTACACGATTCTGACTTTTCTGGCTTGATTATTCAGGCGCGCATAGTCGACCGGTCGTTTTTCAATATTAAAAGAAGTTACTGAAATTGACACCGATCACTTAGTCTAAGTGCGGGCAAGTTGTTGATGTCAGAGATATATTGTGAAAGTGAGTATAAAATCTCATTTACAAGAAGAAATTACTGACTAATAACTTTCTATAAATAGTTATGTGTATTTGATTGGTGAATGAAATTATGTTTAACATGTATATGCGGAAAAATCCATAGACAGAGCATTGTTAATGAGATTGTATTAAAGTCACTTGGTGAAAGAACACTCGTATAACCGTACACTTATATACCAGTTATGAATTCTAACTGCACACGTGCGCATAGTTGGATCTTTAAAGACTCAATTATGACTTAGATTAATGTATACACATGTATATATTCTTTGAGATTTTTCATTTTTACATTTTATTATATCGTATATATGTAAATATACACATAGTTTCTTAATAAAGCAAAAGATTATGAGATAAAAATTTGTTTGATCGAATTAAATTTTTCTTTATTTAATTTTATATATGAACAATTTAATTAAAAAGTATTTAAAAAATATATATCATTTGTTATTCTGAAAATACGTATTAAGAAAAATTGAGATAATACAGAGAGAGTATTATAATTAATATTAACATAATGGTGCAATATTTAAGATTAATAAGAAATAAATTTTCAATAATTAGTTGTTGATTGACTTTGAAAAAAACATAATTAAAATAAAAGCTTTTAAAAATAACGAATAGTTCATGCAGATTTCGATAAATTATAGTTGAGTAACAGAATTGATTTAATTAATCAATCACAAATATTTAATCTTTACGTACAGTTCACCTGCATGAATAAAAGAATCATGATTGTTTTCGGTGACACAACACCGTACGTGCAAGATTGACCTAACATAATCGAATTTTGTTACATTTACAGAGTACTATATTATTATTAGCTTTCTTAATCATTTGAATAACAATATTTTATTAGTACTATTATGTATTTTTTTTTATAATTTAATAATTGTAAAATCAATAAAGTTTTCAAAATGTAACGTAAAAATATCGTAAATCAATAGAATTAGATATCAATAGATAGACAGATATTAATTATTTCCAACTCAATAATTTTATATTCAATTCATTCAATAGATTTACTAGAAAAGCAAAAAAAAAAATACAAAATTATTTTATGTATTTGTGTCTAAGGAAGTTTATTTTTCAGACTTTTAAGTCTTGTACTTATCTGTTTTTTCTTTATCGGTTTCTCAATTATATATTCAGTTTTTTATTTTTGCGCTTATACAGTAACAATTATTATTTTATACATTTGATCTTAAAATTTCTTATTCTTGTGTTTTCACTTATTTATCTTATTTTAGAAAACGAAGCCGCAGGTCGAGATGCAGTTCTCCTGTAATAACTGTAGCTAGCCAATAGACAAGCGCCTGGTGCCTTTTTCATGGATTGGACAATGGCAAAAGGGAGGATAGCCATAATATTCTCGATTGTGTTCCTGGCTATTGCGTGCCACATTCATTCTGTCGTGGGGGTCAAGGTCTACGCGGAGGTTGCGTCCTTGAACGAGACCGCGCGCAACGATGATGATATCGCCGAGGAGAACGAGGTGCCGCTTTCTCAAGAATCTAAAAACAAAATTGACAAACCCTTGCGTGATCATCCGCACAATATGCATGGAAAACCAACGAAATTCGATATCGAAGACGACAAATCGAATTATCAGATTGAACCGACGAGAATAGCTAATGTTACAGCTAATCCAATTGAAATGAATTCATTGACCAGTCGATCTCTATCAAATTCTTATCAAACAGAATGCAAAGGAAAGCTCACGGTTTCTTGCCTACGGAAGGATTTTTTGAACTTTTTAGATCAACTCTCGAGGGTTGATACGTACAACGTAACAGAAACTGTGCAGATTATAAGAAATCCTGAGGTCAACGTTACGTGCAACGGTCGAAAAAAAAATGATACGGATTTAAATCTTTTGGATAAGGTTCATCATTATGCCAGGACACACGTGATGAAGATACAGCTGAATAAGGATCTCAGTCTCGCCAGGAAAGCCAGGACGTTCTTCGGTTGTGAGTTTCTAGACCGCTTGCTACAGATTTTTGTCGCGTGTGTACTAGTGCCGTTACTTTGTCGACGCGAAAGGTGGATTTTCTGAAACTACGATTGTTTATTATATTGTTTGTTATATTGAGCGACATAGTATCTATTTTTATTACCTGTATTATGCGATGCTTACTATAAAGCAATTGCATAATCTCTAATTGGTACGTAGTGAAAGTAATCGAGCAATTTACTGAAGAAAATAACGCAATCTTTTCTATTTCCACCTTTCAACTTGATTTTCAAGATATTTTTATAATGCTTTCATAGAAAAATGCAGTTTTTTTCAAACATTTTGCCTGAAAAATGATTCTCTTTTTAAAAATAAATTATTTAATTTTTTTAACTACCTGATAAGCGACGAATCTAGTACGCTCGTAAGCACGATCTGGCATAAATAAAATTAGGGTGTGAGAGAAAGCTTTAACTTCATGAATTGGCTTTTCGGAGTTAAATCAAGTAACGAGGTTGGGTCCATGCTAATTGGCAAAAATGCAAACTAAACCAGCGATAAAAACGGGTATGAGGAAAAACGAGGCGTGTAACATTGTGTGAGCAGTCAAATTAATTATAATTACGGTGAATATTTTTTTTATTCACACGTGGAGTGTGTTTCAGCAAAATGCGTGGCACGTGGAGTTGGAGAGGGAGAATATGAAAAAAGATGCTGCTTGCAGCATGGCTTTCAGGGCTAACCGCAGGGCTTTAACGAGCTGGTACTTTTGCTTTCAGCTTAACAGGATTCGGGCTTGGTTTTCTAGCATTTGGTCTGAAGAAACTGTTGCTACCCTTGTTCTTCGGCGTACAAATAATTAAGAGTGTGTTACTTGCTCTCTTCCTACCCAGTATCATCGGCAGTATTGGTAATATCGTTGGAAAAGGTACGTATTTTGCGATTAGTAAATCTTATTACAAACATATTGTAAATATTTTAAAATAATTTGTAATGATTGGTATAACTATCAATATATTTTATTTCTTTATCAAAGAATATGCTATGCACACATACATGTAGTAGACGGTAAGTGTCTAATCGATGTTAATCAATATTTGCGTATGACATTATTTAATACTGAAAAATTAATAAGTTTTAGCAATTTAAGTAGCTTTAGTGATTATAACTTTATAATATATAAATTTTTATTTTTCAATCGAGTTTTAATAAATTTTATTTTTTTGTGTGCGCATTGAAAGTTTAGAAAATTGAATCAATTAATATTAGAAATTAAAAAGTAGCATATATATGTACACATAAAATGTAGAAATCAAGTCTTATTGAATGAATAATTTAATAATAATATTAAATGAAAATAAAGAAGTGAAAAATAGCATATACGTATATATAAAATCAAACCTTATTGAGAAAATCAAATCTTATTGAGAAAAAACAGTTTCTCCATAGAATTTCTCTATAGAAAATAATCTTTTGTACTCTTGCAAGAATTCACGTAGTAGCATTAATATTAATTGAGAAAGCTGAACTAAAAGTGTAAATACATGTTACGCATAAATTCCAGGTGTTTCCTCTTTCGCGCAATCTTCGCATGCCGCGCCCGTGGCGGCTATGGACGAGAATTTCGAGTTTAAAGATAATTCTGATCTTTATAACGATGATTATCTGACGCGACAACCGGTAGGCACGTTACCAGCATCCGCCATGTACGACGAAAGTATGATGCAGACACAGAAAACTCCGGATATTGCGTCCCGCTATGGATTCGTCGATTCGAGAATATCTCACGCAAATGCGCTTTCGGATCGTTACTATACGCGACACGTGGCTGCGCATGGACTTTCTAAACCGCAAGATTTTAAGGTGAGCTTTTTGAATAAGTAATACACGATTTTTAATTGGTTGCGTTCGGCAGAGAAAACTGATCAGTAAGCGCTCAGGGATTCTTTGATTTGATTTGATTCGTACACTTATCCAGCAAAGAACTATCCAGAAAAGTAAGAATTAATCATATGAAATCATTGAAAATCAGTTTTCTTTGCTGAACGCAGCCAATTACTTGCAGATCTCATATATTTTCTTGTCACAAAGTAAATAAATGACTTTCAAGTCACTGCACTACTTTCTTTTTTTTTGGACTCGGATAATGCTATTCCGTACATTTAATAAGGAAGTCTAATTGAAACTACGTAATTGTCAGCGAAACTATTAATTGTCAAGACTGTACTTATTAATATTTAATTAATGGAATTCTCGATTATGTAATAGTAATAATTCTTACCGAATGATTGCAACTGATAGGATCAGGAAATGCATGTTGATTTGTACACGTTGCTGTCACATTGATAGTCGCATTAATAATCGCGCATAATCACGAAAGAATTGTTTGTTAATATTTGACTCAGTAATAAAATGGGTAAGTATGCCATAAGAATACCTTTGTCTTTTTTTTTTATACTGGAACTTTTTCTCATCGTCAATGAACAGAGATGACCGTGCTTTCCACTTTTGATACTATTCGACTATTGACATCGGTCATTGAGATTCACGTCATTGCGACCCACTTCTTTGTTTGCTTCGTTTTAACTCAATCGGCGCCTACCTGCACGCGTAACGGATACCATTATGTAGCTGTAAACACGCATATTGATTATTGGCGGCAGGTCTTTCATGAGATACCAACGAGCTCTTTGCTGTTGACGAACTACGACCCGTTCTACTCACCCCTGCTGTCACGTCTGGACGCCGTTTTCTCTCGCCTCGGACACAACACGGAAGGTTGCAGGGAGTACGCAGTATGCGCGATGTATCGGAGTCCCGCGCGTTATGCGCCATATTCGAACCTGGTCTCTGCTCAGTTGTCTAGGGAGTTGAACGAGCTGAGGAAACCCAGCAGCGACAATCCCGACGTTCTACGTTTCTTCAGATACATGAAATCCGCCAAGGATGGTCAGGATGGCGTCAAGTGTGAAGAGATTTATGCGAATTGTGCGAACGCTCGTGAAGATCAGACCTTAAAGCAAAATCAAGCGATGCTCGCGACATATCAAGATATTAATAAGCTCGTTCAGGCCAGAAAGATCTGAGAACGTTATAATTTATTTTTTGTTGTTGCTATTATTAATTGCAAACGTGATAAGAAAAGAAGACGTCTCTCATATCGCTTCATCGAATACATGAGCTTTAGGAGCAGTGGCTTATAGTTCTGATCGGATGCAATCGCTAAAAAGATTTGGCGTTTGCTCTAATGATTGAACATTCATAGATTTTGCGCGCAAGTAAAGTTTTTAGGTATTCTTAGTGGTGGATTATTACGGTCGCTCATTCGGGACTTCAAGATGCAAAATGCCAATATTTTTTCCTAAAAATTTGATTAACTTTTAGTCAAAATTTAAGACTAAAAACAATATTTAAATATTTTTGAAATTGTTTCAATTTTGGAATAGTGCCTTAGATAAGAGAATCTGAAATTAATTTGCATTTGGGGCTCCTGAAACAATTTTAATTCGCCATTATTTAAATCTTCAACTTCCAAAACTAAACAAGCTCTTGGTGGTACCATACACAATTTCCTAAATTATCGTTTGTAGCAAAAGCGCGATGTCGAGTGTATAAACGTTAGAATATGTAAACCTGTAAAAATCTTAGAACTTTTATTTTTTTTTTCAAGAAATTAAGTTTATAATTAAAACGCATTTTGTAAATGATTAGGATATATTTTTTAAGATTGTTAAAATTATATTGAAGTTATGAATGCATGTTTTTTATAATTGTTTACTATGTTATTTAAACTTAGTTTTAAAATATGTTTCACAACATTTTCTTGCATATACACTACTAAATTCAATGAAAGTGCATTATAGAAACAGGAAACATTTTACATAGAACAAAGCATTCGATTATGCCGACATAATTGTGAGCAAGCCAGTATTATTTTCTAAGTATCTCTTGGAAAATAGAAACTGTGTTGATACAATCAAGAACATCAATTTACACATAATAATATTTCGCTTTAGATTACGAGATGAGTATATGTGATTTAATCTACTTCTCACGTAATAAAGCGATTTTTGTATGAAAATAGAAATGAGATCTGCTTATGATTTTGAATGAAAATATTAGAGAAATTTATTTCTTTGTAAACGATTTTAAAATATTTACGGTCAACAATTATGCTAAAAAATATTCTCATCAAGTTTAATTTGCTCAAAACTCTCGCAAATCTTAAAAAAATTGTAATAAATCAATGGATATTTATAAAATGAATTTACAAATGAATGTTCGGTAAATAATTTAATAACGTTAATAAATAATTATTTGATGAGTTATGCAAAATATGACGTAATTAAGTTAAAATTATTGTATATTTAATTTATATTTATTTATCGAATACTATCGTGTACAAGATTTAATCTCACGCTGGATGATAACTCTGGATATTTATTTATTTATATAATGTGAGGATGAAGATGCTAATTTATATGTAATACGAACGAGAAACATGTTGCTCAGAGCGTATGTGTATTTAGATTAACTCTAATTTTATTCAAAAATTGCGATTATTTCATTAATTATATTTATAAGTTGATGTACAGACTGAGTACGTCAATAAAAGATTATGATGTCATATGAATTTCTCCAAAGTAATACGTCAGCATACGACATAATCAATTATGTAATCAAAATCCTATTTAGAATATAAAGCGATAAAAAAAACGAAAAAAAAAAAGAATTTTTAAAATTAACTTTATAAACATGAATTACAACAATCATGGAACAACATGATAAATCTCTGATTAAACCTCATAACAAACGAAACTCCGTACTAAACACTGCGCACAGAAAAAAATGATGTTATCTCACATATATAGGGAAGTAATAGAAATTAGTTTAGAAATCATATCATGACGATGATAGTGATTCAGGAATCATTATGCAAGAAAAAGAAATATCGGTAATAAAAAAGAATTGTTCCCTAATATGGCGATGACGCACGTTGGGTTGTATAAACCGGAGATGAAAGTACGTTGACTTCCTCTCTCCTATGTCGATGTACCTTCCGTCTCCGTTTCTTGAGTCTAGTTCCGGTTCTTATTCTGGACACTACTTTCACTTTCAATTTTTGTAAATCCTCCTGTTTGCCGTTTCTGGGAACGACTTGCGGATCCTATCCCCTCTCTGCATTCGATGGTACACCCATATAAATACGAAGATAATGCGTGTGTCAAGGCGTCATATAACTTTTGGCTAAAACTGTGTTCAGTACGTTTTTGTCAAACTCGTTAAGGCAATCAGTATTAATTATTTTTTGAAACGTTTGGCATTTTAATTTATATAAATAATTCTTGCTTTATATAAATAATTCTTCCTTTAGTTTTCAATTAATAAGGTAAGTTATAATATAATCTAATGTAAAAAAGTTCAAATCAGTTTTAATTTTTGTCCCTTTTCTAGCAGTTTCTTTCATCAACTAGTTTGAAATTCGTTTTAATCTCATTCTTTTATCAATTTTATTTTTGGTTTATTCATCGTTTGTTTATAAAATCTTGCTCAGTTCATTGCTTCCAAAAGAAAAAATTCACCGTTATTGTTACAATTCGTAATCATGTTATGGAGCAACAATTTATTTTGCAATTTCGCAACTTAACCGAAAGATTTGTGGTTAAAAAGATAACTTTAGCGATATATATACTACTATTTACTTAAGTGGAATGCGCGCGTGATCAGAAATTGGAATCTGCTTGTTGAAACCCGCTTGCTTTCGTCCTTTACTTCTGATTGGTACGCTCATCTAACGGCACTTGGTGAACCAGTGCGTCGACTGCCAACAGTCGATCTCACAGACTTGTAAGTGTTGTTTGAGAATCACCACGAGAACGTTTTTTGACAAGGATGTCGCATAAGGAATATCAAATCACGATAATTTGACAGTTTGGTGAGATATCTGATTGTATTTTAACTTTTTGTCTTCTTTAAAAATCAATAACATGTTACTATATTTCCAGTTGTTACCATATTTCGTGTTCAATAGTCATATAATTGTTTATTTTACGCGTATATATTTAAAATATATGTGTGTATATAAAATATTTTAACATTGATGTTGTTATTGCAAAATAAAAGTGTTGTTACAAAACAAAACAAATTTATAATGATGAAATTTGCGCTAGTTTATACATCGTTTAAAACAGCAGGAAATGTTAATTATATCGATATGTGTGATGTGTATTTCTTCTAATATAGAAATATTTTATTAGAAATATTCATGATGAGACGTGATTGCAGGTGGTGTAAAGAAAAGAGTAGAATGCAACTGCAGCGGTTGTTGATAATTCTAGGAGTTCTTTTGGTATTGTCCTTGCTGGCGTGTTCTCAGTCTACCGGAAAAATTACTTTTCAGGATAGCGAACATGAAGCAGATAAGCAAGATAAGCAAGGTATTTTAGAAATTATTTCTATTAAAAGACATGAATATGTCTTATACAATTGTGCCAAGTGTGACAATCGCAAAACAGACCGAGATTTATAAATAAATGTTTGTTAATAACTTTTAACAATACTTTTAATTATATATGTTTAATTCATTGCGCAATACAACTTCACTATCTAATTTTTTCGTGTTATATAATTTAAAATTAAAAAAAATATACTACATTTTTGACAATATACAATTGACGAAAATTTAAATTATTTTAATTTATTTTAATAAAAATCAAAATTATATATAAATTTATAATTTCAGAGAATCTTAAAGAAATTACATCGCAACAGAGAGGATTTAATCCTGTTCAACACGTAGAAGATTTATTCAATTATATTGGTTTTGGAACTGGACGAAATGTAGATCCGTATTTGGCAAAGGTCAATGAACGTTGCTTAACTGGTGATTTAGCTGAATGTTTCAAGTCACGAGCGTTAACATACTTTTCGGATTTTTTCGATCATGCTGAATATTCCTTAAATGATAACGTTCAAATTAAGCGAATGTCTGATCAAGTTGTAAGAGAAGTACATCGTCAGCCGTATGAATATTCTAACGAACCTAGGTATGTTATCTATATCTTTATCAGTATGAAAGTACATACATATATTGTAATTGTATATAATTGTATATATAGACATTTCTTTTTACATATAATGATTTTTACGTGCGCCTAAGATACGTAAATAATTTTTCTAAATATATTGATAATATGTCGAGAGAATATATTGCTCGAATTATTAAATAAATACTGCGATTTCTAAATTAAAAGTAAAATATGTTGATTAGATCCGATGAAACAGAATGGGATCAAATGATCAATTTTATGAAAAGAAAGTTGGAAAAGTTTGTTAAAACAATGTCTTTCGAATTGACTATTCCTGAAGAAGAGACTGATCTCAATGATGTATATAAACCAAGATTTTTGAATGAAATTGCTGATGAAATTGATACACTTGAGGATAAAAAGGATACACTATTCTGTAAGTATTTATTTGAAATTATTACACAAAAAAATTTTCTTAAATATTTGTAATGATAAAGGTATTTGAGAAAATATTTGAAAAATTCAAAAGCATAATACATATGCATTTTGCTTGCAAATCCATTGTTAAGTCTGGGGAATCTAAATCATTTATTAGAAAGTCTATCAGAAAGAAAATTATTATTTTCTTTATTTTATTGTAGCAATTATTAATTCTTAATTTATAATCACATTTATGTATAATAAGTATGCAATAATAGAATGCCATTGTGCATCATAGTCAATTAATTCCTCGGTTTATTATGCAAAGTTAATAAAGATAATATTTTTATTTAATATTTTTATTTATTTGCAAAGTTAGTTCTTTCTGTCAAATAAATTATTTAAATTACTAAAATATAAAACAATTAACTAATAATAAATTAACTTAATTTAAAACTTAACTATTATGTTTATTAAATGTTGTTTAACTGCTAAAGCTATTTAAAAACATAAAAGCAAGATTAGGTTATTTAAGTTATTTTAATTAATTAAATACTTATTAAAACAAATTTTGAATTTGTTTTAGCTCGTCATCAACTCAGAAAATTTCTTATACCCTTTTTACTTGTTGTAAAGCTCTTCAAAATGAAACTTCTATTATTACTACCTTTGATTTTGGGATTGGCTTCGTTCAAGAAGTTCCTTGGATTTTTGGCGATCGTCATACCTGGTCTAATAGGTTTCTTTAAGCTTTATAAACCGTATCCAAGTTATTATCCCCCAGTATACACTAAAAACGGAGTTGCTCAACCTCATTATGAATCACATCCGAATTTTGATTATCATGGAGATCATTATGGAAATATAGATTCCTATGGTCATGATTTGGCATATCGAGGATATCAGCATTATAAATCCTAATCTTTATTGATTTATTTATTACATTATTTCTAAAAAAGAAACAGATTATAATCAAATAGTTAAAAATAAACTTTTAACTATGAAGATTATTTATGTACAAAATATTAGGTGTTGGAATTAATTCGTAGCGTTTTTTAATGAAAGAATGTTATTTATTTCACATGAGCATTAAAAAATACATTAATGAAAGTACTTCCCATCACTTGTAAAACGCTACGAATTAATTCCAACACCTAATATTTATTTTGATTAAAAAATATGAAATTTAAATTATATTATTATAAAGCATATTTTTTATTTAGTTATTCATATTCAA